GCAGAATTCTCATCACATTTCTGAACCAATTGAACAAACTGGCACTTGCAGAGCTGTAGGGAAATTTAGCACCCCCTGTAATGCCCTTGCATGCTCCTATGGGTCCGCACACCACCAGTTGGGAAACACTGCTATGTACAGCCTCATTCCAAAAATAATGAAGGAATCACAGAAAGGCCACATGGAGCAATGGTAAGCTTTGGTCGAGAGAATTCATGTTCCATATTTAGTTTGAAATGAGAGGAGGATTCTCAAAACATTATTGAGGTGCACGTTACAAGAGTGGTTCAGCCAATCACAGGGCAGCATTATGGTTCAAAAGATTCAGAACAAACTACTTGTGTTTAACATGTTTTAGCAAAAGTAAAAAGGTTCATCCTGCAGGACAAAACCAAAGCACCAGGTTACACTGGCCTTAAAGGAGCTATACCCGTTTCTGCAATGTTTGAATGTTTAGCCCCGCCCCTCAACTCGCTCAGAGGCTTCTCATTTCCCCTACGCTCTCATTCCACGGAGCCATAGTTTTATTTGCGATCTGATGCATATGCTAACTTTAGCATTGACGTAACGTAAGCTGTACAACAATCACTGATGAAATGGTACAAAAGCAACGCACTGCTAACAAAATATATGACTGAAAGATTACCGCTAGTTTCAGGTCCGAATGTAGTCCGAGCATATAGTCCGCAGGTCTCTCCCATAGACAAGTCTCTCCAGAGGATACGATGTAAGCTAGCTATGTTCACCCGGGCTTCATATCTTCTTTGATCATTTTTTCGCTTTATATCCCTCTTCTCTTCCTCACTGTTGCGTCGTTTGGGCTGTTTTGCTGTGTCTGCAGTTACAGCAAAAAGAGTTAAAGCCAATTCTGCTAACATGCTACTGTGTTTAGCAGCGCTGTAGAGGCTAGAGGACCATGGATCTATTATAATAACTGGATAGGGTATTGCTAGTTTATAGCTGAAGAACCCACGTGCTCGGGGGATTCTCGCGGTACTGCAGACTAAACAAGACGCAATTCATGTGGGCTACCCAGAAATTTTCCCCATAGAACTCAATATAAATTTAAACAGCTCGACCTCAGCTGACAGAGAACCTACAGCTTTAATAAAGGTCGGATTTTGTGGGGATTTTAGTGTCCCTTGTCATCCTGAACTTTTTTTCTTCTTAAATCCTTCGGTTTTCTTTAAATCCACACTTTAGTGCCACAAACTCTGCTCCTCTGGCTCTCGCTCTAACTCCCGCTCTGATGAACTGCTCTGATTGGTCAGAGCGCGGCCGAGCCCCTCTGTGCACGTGCGTGAGACCCGGTGTGAGACCCACACACGCGTGTTTGGCGCAACGCATTATGGGAGATAATCCACTGCACAGAACCGGGAGGACCAGACGATGCCCAAATACAGGCGAGTTCCGCTAATCTGTCAGCGACCGTGCCGGCACAAAGCGCCACTGAGCACAACCACTCATTTGAATACGGCGCCATCTTGGATCGCCGGGGCTTGTAGAGGACGCAGCCTCGTTCTGTGAGTGGAGGAGAGCCAGCAGCCCGCTTAAAGTCATCTCAGCACTTTGAATGGCCTAAACTCATGCTTATGCTGAATTAATGAGCTCCAGTTTTCAATTAAATTACAGTTTTTAATACAACTTGTATGTAGTTATACAGATTTTTATTAACTCAATAGAAAGAAAATCGGGTATACAAGCTGCTGCCACCTCACTGGGAGCCAGGCTTCAGTTTCTCTTGAAAAATAGCGCTTAGGAATTATTTTAGAAGTTTAATTATGTTTATTTAATAGGGACAGAACAAGAAGCATTGTTACAAATAACCGATGCCATATACCTGTCAGGAATGAACCAGACAGAGACGGATCGTGGTGCGCCAAACTCTGGAAGTTTATTTAAGTTTCTCTCAAGTTCCAGTGGTTTCCAATGTTTCTTTCTCTCAGACAAAATGGAGTCATTAAGTTTATATAGTCATTGTCACGTCACACATCGAAAGACGTACGTGTCACACAGAGACAGTCACATCATAGTCAAAATAATCGGAGTCCTTCTAGAGTCCTGCACGTAGGCCATAAAGCTATCTAATACTAGCATAGCTAACAGCTGATGCACAGACATAAAAATACCATAGACTGTATATATTAACGGACAGAGTCACGCCTATCTCCGCCGTTCTAACTAATGGGCCAAAACATTTTCTCTACTGGAGCAATCCAAAATGGCCACGAGTGGTCCCGCCCACAAGAAAATTGTGAAAAAATGCATCTGCGCATGCGTCAGCCGGCGCAACTCCATTCATTTGAACGAGAGACTTCTAAAATTCACAGCAAGTAAACTAGAGTGGACCAAAAAAATCCACCCCCCTCAGCATTGACACACATGTGGAACGGAGCTTTGGGCCAAGAGCCAACTTTTGGTCCATTCTGTCTGCCAATGCTATATGTTAGCATTGGCTAATTCTACTTCTGGGTCCACCCCCATCGGCCCGGGGTGGTATTGCACGTGGTCAGCGCACGTCATTTTGGCCACTTTTGAGCTGGGACCCGCCCCCACTGAAAAATACCTAACATTTATAGATCATTATAAAAACACAGATTACACAGTCCAAAAAATGTACAATAGAATATTAGAGTCATACATTGTTTAACTTTAATGCTAAACTGATTCAGGTCTGTCGATAATTTCATTGCATTTCTGCACAGAAAAAAAAGTAACCAGAAAATCAATTAGAAGGTTTTCTTCAACTTTTCCCGGCTGCTTTCAGAGCGAGATAAACGACCACTGAAATAAAACCCGGACCTTGGAGACAGATCCTTCTGTGACATCACTTTTTTGTGAAAACCATTTTCTCTCCTGAAATAAAAGTAGGACACATAATAGGACTCAATAATCATGAGATATTTTCGAATAGGGTTAGGGTTAGAGAATTGTATTTCAGTTTGAGCGCAGGTGTCATTACAACTCAAAGACAACATTTTTGAAAGAAATTATGAAAAATAAAACATCAAAATGTTTTTCAAGATCATTCAAAGTATATGTTTTTTGAATATTGTCACTAATTGAGACCTTTTATGATGTGTGAATATATACTTTGTTACCTCTAGGATTACTCCGCATTACTCCAGGACATAGTTGTCATAGTCATAGTTAGAAAAATAATATTTATCATAAGCAGTGATGGGAAAAACGGCGTTACTAACGCCGTTACTTTTTTCAGTAACGAGTAATCTAACTAATTACTTTGACAGTAACTATAACGCCGTTATCATTTCCGACATCCCGTTACTGCGCGTTACTCAAGACGCACAATGAACGTGTTGTCATGAGAGAAGGGAGGATGAGAAAACCTCTCAGATGTTATTGGCTGATGTAAAACATATTTCCTTTACAATCCACATGTCTACAGTTGAGAAGATGGCTCATAAATTGTGTTTTTGAAACAAATATGGGTCTTAATCGCGCTCAACCACGGCTTGTATCACCGTGAGGTCAGCCACAGAGGAGCGCATGTGAGCGCAGAAGTCGGCTGCATACAATTCCATCGATAAGCTCCTTGCTCTTCCTGGTTTATCTGCTAAGGACAGCAACAGGTTTGGCTAACATACATATAACACATTTTTACATAATGTAAAATGCACATAGGGTAATTTTTCAATTACTATAGGAATGATAAGAAAGAGAGGTGAAGTGTTAGACGTTGATTTTAGAAATTGGATGCACCCGGCTGCCGCTAGCAAAACACAGGAGTTTATGGAGGACACACGCGTTTTGTTTTACTTTTTAAAACTCATTGGACTCATTTCGGGCGGCATGGTGGCTGAGTGGATAGCACTCTCGCCTCTCAGCAAGAAGGTCCTGGGTTCGAATCCCGGTCGGACCAGGGCCTTTCTGAGTGGAGTTTGCATGTTCTCCCCGTGTCTGCGTAGGTTTCCTCCGGGTACTCCGGTTTCCCCTACCACTAAAAATATGTCCAATAGTTCTGGCATGCGCTTCCTGTACTGGCGACCCCGCTCCCATCTCTGTGTGGAGTGAGAGGCAAATGCCCAAAAATTAACAATTGTAAACCGCTTTGAGACTCAGATCTGCAGTGAAAAGGCGGTATATAAATAAAAACGTACTTACTTACTTACTATTTCCAAATGGAGGATTACATATCTACGCTCAAACTATTATCTGGACTTAAACATGGAACTGGTCTGAACCGAAGTGGACTGTGCAGGTCATTTATAAGGTATAGCATAAGGTAAGACCCATAACTCATAGTTTTGCGTTTTGTATGAACAAACAATGCGGGCATAAAACATATTTTGCTGTAGCCAAACAAATTGTCCACTTGATTTATATGATGTATATGTTCATCTGATTGGGCTGAAGTCAGTGCTTCACCGGTGTTTCCACATTCACAGTGGCGGGTGTTGGTGTTTAGTGCTTACAGCACAGTGAGAGATGAAGAGTGAACAGGACTTCAGCAGAAAAACAGCCTTTTCTAGATGGAAATATTGGCACTGTTAAAGGTAAAAATGCGCACCTCGAGTGCACATTATGTTCCAGAACAAAACGAAAAAGTAACGCAATAGTTACTTTTACTGGTAACTAGTTACTTTTATAGTGGAGTAACTCCGTTAGTAACTCAGTTACTTTTTGGGAGAAGTAACTAGTAACTATAACTAATTACTTTTTCAAAGTAACGTGCCCAACACTGATCATAAGCCACCACAATTTTAAACTATAGTCATTTTGGACAATTGAGAGGAAAGAGTTGGAAAGTAAACTGGATGTAAAGCTGCCATCCCGAGTTTGTTGGCTTCTCAGGACAATCAGACACTGTCCGAGCGTGGCGAGGTGGGGGTCTCCCAGAAAACTGGTTTGGAAGCAACTTTTGAACACTTTTGTTTGTCTCACAGCAGGACCCCCTCAGCGTCCCGCGCGAGTATCTGGTTCAGTCAGAGAACTTTGCTGAGAGCCTCATAAGCCCCGCCCCTTCTGTTCTCCGGCTAATGTATGCCACTTTCGCTGTCATCGCCGTGCCAACCAGCTGTCAAACTGAGGACCGCGGGGCTTTTGTGGCGCGCAGAGAAGACCCACCGGACAAACCCGTGCTGCTGACGCCTCTTTGTGGAGGAGAATACCACGACTGGGTTCCCACTCATTTCTGGAGATTAGGTTCAAGGATAATCCCGGAAAAAGTGGTTACGTCGCTGGCACTGACTGTACACAGACACTGTCATATGGAACAATACCAGTGTTATTCCACAGAACTGCATTCCTGTTGGACATGTTGCCGTGTATGACCTTCAGGGACGGATCAGCTTCTAGTCAGTGTCTGGTCTCACCACATTTTACAAACTGTGTGTAACAGAGCAGACTTTTTTCTCAGAACTTTAATTTTTAATGAAGGGTGCAGTCGTTTCCAACAATGGCAGCTCAAAGAAACCTGGACAAACCCAAAGCCTGCACTGTTGCCTTATGATACAGAGGTTGTATCAAGTTGTGCGATGTCCACCAGACTTTCACGTGCAGCTGATCAAGGCAAGGCAGGTTTATTTGTATAGCACAATTCATACACAAGGCAACTCAAAGTAGTGAACAAAACAAGATAGAAACAGTCACATAAGGTATTAAAATCATAATTAATCACAGTACAGTAAAAAGAGTGAAGATAAAATCCCTCTCAACTTTGTCAGAGAACCTTGTCAGAGAAGAAGCCTGTCTCACATTTTCAGGAAGATTGTTCCAGAGTTTAGCTGCGTGAATCTGAAAAGCAGACTCCCCATGTTTAGTTTCGACTCTGACCCTGAATCACAACAGCAGTCGTCTCAGTTGACTTTACAAAGTTGTCAATTCCTCAACAACAGATCAGAAAATCAAACAGTTCGAACACAGGAAATAATAACAGACACACAGGAGCCTTAGGTCCATAAATGTCCTTGAAGGTACCGGAACATCCCTGTCCTTAGATAAACAATGAGAAGTAAGCAAGAAACCAACCAAGCAAAGATCCAGGACTGAGGCTGTGGATCCAGGACTCAAGCTGTAGATCCAGGACTGAGGCTGTAGATCCAGGACTCAGGCTGTAGATCCAGGACTGAGGCTGCAGGACAGAAGAGGCTCTATGGCAGGGAGAGGGGTGATGCCCTTTATCCTGCCATGTTTATAGCCACCAGACCAAGAGTGTGTGTCTCTCCAGCAGCAAATGGCAAAGTTTATGCATGAAAAAAACCCCAAATGAGTCATACTTGAAATGATTGCATATCTTTGCAATCTCCATTTTGCATCAGCCAATAATTTTATATGCTAATAAATAGGCAAGGCAAGGCAAGGCAAGTTTATTTATATAGCACAGTTCATACACAAGGCAATTCAAAGTGCTGAACAAAACAAGAAAGCATTAAAATCATGAATTATCACAGAACATTAAAAAGAAAGATAAAAATATAAAATCCCTCAGTTGTATGCACAGCTAAACAGAACTGTCTTTAACCTGGTTTTAAACATTGTCAGAGAGGAGGCCTGTCTCACATCTTCAGGAAGACTGTTCCAGATTTTAACAGTGTCAGAACTTCAGCTTAAACTCTTTCAGCCTTCTGCTATAACTCGTATTAACTTGTGTTTGAGTATATTTCAGAGTACTACAAATCACTACTTGATTAAAACATTTTATACTTTACTCTAGTATATTTTGGCTGAGAATTGAAACATATACTGTGCATTTAAACCAACCACTTCAGCTCTTATGTTCGGATCTGAGATGAACGCTTGTAGCATTAATCCTGCTTTACAAGGCCTCCTCCCTCTGAGCTCACACACCCTGCTCCAAACGACCACAACGCAAATTTTATTTTTACATTTTTCTCCTTCATGTGGAGAAAAACAAAACAGCCGGTCGATTCTCATAACCACAAGACTTTGGCGTTGCAATACCACTGCAGACAGCACCCACACGTCTCTCTCCTCGGAGCCCAGAAGGAGGCGTCAGGAGGCGTCAGGAGATCTCGGAGAGCTTTGGGCGACCACTGTCGGTGAGAGCGGAGCGGTGGCGTCCAGAATGTGTTGGCATCTGCTCCTGGTGCCTTCACAGGATTACGCAGCCAAAGGAATATGCAAGATCAGCAAGCTTCGAACACAATGGAGCGCACCCGATCTGTGCTCCTCTCCTGGGACAGACTCTTTATCAGGCTGGATGTGTGTGTGGCACCGACTGCTTTGTACCACGACAGTTAGAAACGTTATATCATAAATGTCTGCAATAGTCAGAGCGAGATGTTTCCTAAGAGACAGATAGAGGCTTTATAATTCCTTCTTATTAAGCTAAAGTCAGAGATTTTTACTTAATTCTTGCTTCTTCATTATGCTAAAGCCAGAGGTGTTAAACTTGCTTCTTTATTATGCTTAGGTTTTTATGTTATTCTATTTTAGTATGGAGCTATTGTTCATGTATCTTGTGCTGTGTGCTCCTCATTCCTTCTGTTCTGTAATTGGTGATGCAACACAGACATTTTCTCACTGTGGGACGAATAAAAGATCACCTCTTGTTTATACCCTCCATATAATATCAAAGATAATTACATGTTTAATCTGCCTACATACTCAAATCTATTATGTGAATGTTACAGATTAAACCAAAATCTTTTCATTTCTGTTACTGTGATTATATGTAGCCGCTGTAATTACACACTCTCAAACACACAATCATTCAACCCCCGCCTATTGTACTTGTTTTTAGTGGTGGGGGAAACTGGAGCGCCTGGAGAAAACCTACACAGACTCCAGACAATGACCTTGTCTGGAGGTGGAATCAAACTTGGGACCTTCTTGCTGTTGAGCAAGTGCCAACCACTGCACCACCTCACTGTAATAGAGGTGTTGATGGTTAACACTCCCAGAGCAGTCAATATGACGGCTTTTAGTTTTGGAAGTGAAATGTCTCAGCTCATGTATCTGTATCTGTATCTGTAGTATGTTTATGAAATCATCTTTTACTTTTGAAATGTGAGAAGTTCTACCTTTAACTTCTTTTCCACCAGAAAATAGCCTTTTTTAGCTGTATGTGTGTTCAGTTGCAGTTATGACCAGTTTTAGCAATCATTAAAAGTGAGTAAGTTTACGGTTAGGGTAAGGTAAAAACAAAAAACAATATAAATTACTTTGTTTATATCAATCTGGTGAACATTCTTTTGGGGGTCAAAATGACGGCTCTGGGAGTTCCAGCAGTTTCAGAGTTCTGGGAATCCAAGTATTATCCAGATTCGAGAACATTGTAAAATTTGTTTAGAGTTTAGAGGAAACCAGAGGCCTGTAGGAAGTCAAACTTTGCAGAGAAGCGAGATAACTCAGGACTCAGTAACTTCTTACCATCAGTGCTGTCTCAGGTGGATTGGTGTTTCCTCATAAAAACAACCAGGCCACTTTATTGACAGTTGTGACTACAGTCGCGACGCCAGTTTGTGTGGAGTGAATATACGCATACATCCATTCAAAGCCTGTTCAAGTCTGTTGCATTATTACTATTATCATTAGATAGGTAGATATTTTATTGATACCGTGTGAGAAATTCAGGTGTCCGGCAGCAGAAGACTCATCCAGGTTTGTTGTACAGTCTGACAGCCGAAGGAACAATGGATTTCTTGAATTGCTCAGTTCGGCAGCGCAGTAATGGGAGACTCTTTCTTCGATTACTCCTCTGAGCGGCCATAGTGTCATGCAGAGGGTGTCTGGAGTTACCCAGGATGCCCTGCATTATGGTGCTTTCAGACCGGATCATGCGTTGCATCGGGTTTCAATGCAAAGTTTATGGTGACGCGCGTTCGACCGTCGCAATGCACGGACCTCTCGGCACGCACGAACGGACTGTTCAATAATGACGCACGGACTTGGCGGGAAAGTCAAAGGGGAGGAGCAGGAGCGAAAAATCAACGCCCACAGGAGATGGATTCTGCTCATCCTTTCCTTGGGACGTTCGTGCGACAACCAATCAGAGAGCAGCAAAGTGTTCACAGGGACATTAGCGGACTGAGCGAGCAGACTGAATATACTGTAAACAGCCAAAACAGGACCCACACCAGACTTCACCAGAACTCAAACCAGGGTTGACAATGGGGGACTCTGTGCTTGTGAAAATATGCGTTGTCATGCTCCCGTGACCTTTTGCAACTGCTTCGAGTGTGTTCGCCGATGCGGAAATATCGTTGAATAATATGAAAAAACGTATGCACCTCCGTGAACACATACTACTGTTATATAAAGCCAGTGGAAAGTCTCTGTTCAAAGTGTGGCAGGTTGGTGTAGGCTGCCTTTTAAGATGGATTGTGGGTGGCACCGACGTAGCGTTGAAAGCCGGTTACGCGCACGGCGCGCGCTCATACACACACCAGCTTGAGTGGGCTTTGTGTGGCGGCGTGCTGTGGTCTCCCGCAACACCTGGTTCGGGCCTTAACTTTCCGAGCCCTGCGCTTCCACGCATTATCATCCAGGTTAGTTTTAACAAGCCTCTTCTGGTGCACGCTGTGTGCCAGCCTTTCTTAATGTTGGTTGTCTTAGGTCCATGACTACGGTCTGGCCTGGCTCGCGTGGTCTTCCTCCTTCTCCTTAGGAGTGCGTGCGTGGTGCACGCGTCGCGTGCTCCAGGCCCTTCTCTGGGTAAGTGCGTCCATTGTCTCGCTGAATTTTGGGCTTGGCCCGGGCTGACATCAAATTTTCCTTTAGGTCTGGGGCTGTTGTGGGACTTTGCCGTGATCCCCCCGCGTCTCTCCCCCTCCTCCTGCTGCCTGCGGGTGCGCGCACTGTCACCGGCAGGTAAGAGGTCCAAAGCTTTACCACTGCAGGGCTAATCCTTAGTTGGTAGTTTACGCTCGTGTTTTTCTTTCTAGGCACGAGGCGCACAGCGTGCGTGGCCCACGTTGGAGCCGCCACCTCCTGTTAAAGGAGGCCGTTGTTTTGTCCCTCTGTGTTGTCCACATTCTCTCGTGCGTAAAAGAAGCGCTCCAGTCCCATTCCGCACCCCTGGGCTGCTTCAGCGCGTGCTTAGTGCGTGCATAGGTGGGGGTGGACTCGCACCGAACAATTTAACATTGTTTTTTTGTAGGCAAGGACTACAAGGAATCAGGGTAGTTTGTCCGCATGTCTGCTCCTGCATGCTTGTTTGTTTTTGTCGCTTGCACGTTATTTTCCTTTGCCTGTTTTCTGTGTGTATTTACCTTATTGTGCATGATTTGCTGTGTCTTATTTTATTTTTGCCTCTGTTGTGATGTTTGCCTATTTTCACAAGCTATTTGATTTATGTTTATTTAAAGGTGCTGTCCCCCACTACTCAAGTAGCACTGTGTACATTGTTTATTGTTAAAGGTGTACTGTATGACGCTTGTTTACCATTTTAAAATAATATTAGGCCTATTTCAACTTCTGTATTTATTAAATAAAACTCATCTTTGTAATAAAAATTCACCTCCTTTATTGTCCTAACCTAGTGCGGCCTTCTGAAAGCAAAAAGATTAAACCAAAACCGTCGGGTCCCAGGGCCATTACCCTGGGTGGCGTTGCTGAATTTTCATTGTTCTACCACGGCTCCTGCCACATTTGGCGTACGCTGGCAGGACAGGACATAAAGTAGAGGTGTGATTATTTTTGTTTATATAAATTGCTTTTGTTTATGTTCCTTGCACCTTGGATATCGTACTGTTTATTCTGTTGTGGACAATTTCAGTGGACAGGGCAACGGCTATTCTTTTCAGGACTCAAAACTCGAGGTTAGTTACACTCAAGTTCGATTCCCTTGCCTAAAGGTTGTGGTGTGTGTACCCGTAGACAGTATGGAGGAGGAGCTTCAGCAGCTCAGAGAGCAGTTGTCTCAGCTTAAGGCAGACAATGAACGACTTCTCCGGGATAGGGCCTCACCCCAGGCCGGAGCTAGTGGAGTTAATCAGACTCCAGGCACTCCCACCGGTAGTGTTCCCTCAAGGACTTCAACTGTTTCCATGGAGCGCGTGTTTGTGATGCCTCGTGACCGCAAGTGTCCCTTGTTCAATGGGAGGACGGGTATCTCCCTGGATGAATGGACAGAAGAGATTGAAGCTTGTATGCGTGCCCACCATCTTTCTACTAGGGATAGAGCTTTCTTCATTTTCGATCATTTGGAAGGTGAGGCTAAGAGTGAGATAAAGTTCCGTCCGATGGTGGAACGAGAGGACCCAGCACGGGTTCTGGATATTCTTCAGGAATTGTATGGCTGTGCCCGGCCATATGTGACTTTACAGCAAGCCTTTTTTTCAAGACAACAACAAGAAGGGGAAACCTTACAGGAGTTTTCCCTTGCGCTTATGTCACTTATGGAACGGGTTAAACAGCGTGCACCAGGAGGCGTACCGAATGCAGCAATCCTTTCACGTGATCAGTTTATCGAGCAAGTAATTGACAGTGGGCTACGTAGGGAGTTAAAGAAGTTTGCTCGTGATACCCCAACTGCCACCTTACTGCAGGTGCGTGCCGAGGCCTTTAGATGGGAGAGAGAGGGGTTGCCCACCTCTCATCGGGAACGTAGTTTTTCTCTTCCGTCCATCCATGGCCTTCAGTTTGAGGTTAGAGGTAGTGCTCGCTCCCCTTCTGTGCCAACACCACCTTCGGCACCTGGCTTGGGTGAAGTAATGGATTTATTAAAGCATCAGCAGGAACAACTTAATCAACTAACCCAGACAGTAGCTTCCCTTCAGGCCCCACGGCAAACTGGTAGGCCAACTCGCAGTAGCGTTATATGCCGGAGGTGTGATCGGCCTGGCCATTATGCCAGTGAGTGTGATGGAGAGCGCGTTCCTTTCCGTGGCAGAGCTAGCTCTGCCTCTGCATCTTCCCACCCCCCCGCATCGCAGGGAAACTAGCGCCCACTGAACTGGGGAGCCAAAGTTCAGGGGGGGGTGTCCATAGGCTCACGTATAGGCGAACTCTCTGACTTGATGGCATCTTGCCCAACAGTTGAGGTAAACATGGGTGGGGCAACCGTTCCCTGCTTGTTGGATACTGGATCCATGGTATCCACAGTCACAGAAAGTTTTTTTAGGGAACACTTTGAACCTTGGGGTGCTGACCGCCTTCAGTCCTGCCACTGGTTGCAGCTGCGGGCAGCCAATGGGCTTGAAATACCATACATTGGGTATTTGGAGCTGGATGTAGCCCTCTGTGACAAAGTGATACCTCAGTGTGGTATATTAGTTGTAAAGGATCCCCCTGACACAAGCCCCTCCACTCCAGGTATTCTCGGAATAAATGTAATTCGTCGCTGCTACCGGGAGTTGTTTGGTGCCTACGGCTCCTCTCTTTTTGAGCTTCCTGTAGTGGCACAGGCCCCAGGCCCAGTCATTGAGGCCTTGCAGAAATGCCATAAAGCAGCTGCTCGCGAGCCAATAACTATGGTTGGAGTTGTTAAGGTCCGGGGTCCACGAGCGGTGCGAGTGCCTGGGGGCACGATGAAGCTGGTCGCAAGCACCTGCCCCCAACAGCTTGCCGGTAAGGCTGCTCTTTTTGAACCGCCAGAAACTGGCCTACCGGCTGGATTACTGGCTTCCCCTTGCTTAGTGCGTGTTGAGAAGGGCACCGTTTACCTCCTGGTGGTTAATGTGGGGATAGTTGACGCCTTTCTACACCCTCGGACCAGTCTCGGGACCCTGAGTAAGGCAGAGGTAGTGAGTTTACCAGTGGGGGTTACGGAAGTCAACACAGCCACAGCCACAGTCTCCTCTCAGGTGGCGACTGAGCCAGAGGACAAGGTTGGTGCGGTGGACCTGTCTGTGCTTGAGCCTGAGGAACGGGTAGCAGTCAGGTCTTTGTTACAGAAGTACCGCACAGTGTTCGCCGCTCATGACGGTGACCTTGGGTGTACCAACCTGATAAAGCATGAGATCCCTCTGCTGGATGACGTGCCGGTTCGGCAGCGCTACCGCCGCATTCCACCGTCGGAATATGAGGCTGTGAAGGCCCATATTAACCAACTCCCCGATGCGCAGGTAATACGGGAAAGCAGCAGCCCATACGCCTCTCCCATCGTCCTGGTCCGTAAGAAGGACGGTAGTCTTCGCCTTTGCGTTGACTACCGCCTTCTAAACGGCAAGACCAGGAAGGACGCCTTTCCCTTACCGCGCATCGAGGAAAGTCTGGATGCGCTGTCGGGCGCCCGTTGGTTCTCAACACAACACAATCAGGTCCCAGTGGAAGAGCCAGACAAGCCGAAGACGGCCTTTTGTACACCATTCGGCCTGTTCGAATTTAATCGAATGCCATTCGGCTTGTGTAACGCTCCGAGCACGTTCCAGCGCTTGATGCAGAGGCTGTTTGGAGACCAACAATGTCAGTCATTGTTGTTATTAGAGGTGCAACAGTTCATCACTGATCCGTGATCCGTTCGGTTCAACGTCTTCGGTTCGGTACAGACGTGATCCGCGGTTTGATTTATGAAAAAAAAGTTGTGCGCACGTTGTTCAGTCCACACACAGCGCGGTCATTGCGAGCGGAGGAACAGAGATGCTTGAAAGCCACGCGTCATTTAAATCCCCAGTATGAGAGCATTTTGGCTTCACTGTAAATACACTGATCATTAATATTCGACAAAACTGTCACGATGTGTAAGCACTGTGGCACAAGAAAGACATGAGTGAAAAAAGCGTCTCAACGACCGCTTATTGTCGCGGCATTTAAGCAGCTCCTTTACGCACAGTCAGACCGGGCTAAAGTCAACTCTCCCGCGCATCCTCAGCTGCGCTCACGACTGACGCTCGGACGTCCCGCGGAACCTATAATAGATCCATGAGCGGAACCGCTCACTTCATCACCGCAGACTGGGAGATGAAAAGTTTGGCGCTGCAGACACGCCCCCTCTACGACAGTCACACAGTCACACAGCGCAGGTACTGACACAAGCAGCGGAGGAATGGAAGACAAAGGCCCAGTACTAATATCCCAGTCACAACTGATAATGCCAAAAATTAAATAAATGCAGTGAATGAGGCTGGGCCCAGAATGGAGCGCCTCCTCGGGAGAATAATAATAATAATAATAATGCATCGGTTTTATATAGCGCTTTTCTGGACACTCAAAGACGCTTCACATGTGTCATTATTCATTCACTCCATACACGGTGGTGATAAACTACTGCTGTAGCCACAGCTGCCCTGGGGCACACTGACAGAAGCGAGGCAACCAGTATGCGCCATCGGCCCCTCCGACCACCACCAACCATTCACACACACACCAGACTCATTCTAGGCAATGGGGGTGAAGTGTCTTGCCTAAGGACACAACGGCAGTTTGGCACTTTACAGCCGCAGCCGCCCCACTGTGGCTGGTGTTCCCAGAGGTTAAGTGTCTTGCCAAGGACACAACGACAGTAGTCAGAGGGAGTCGATGGTGAAAGTCTTGAGCGGGGCTTGAGCGGGGCCACGACCTTCTGGCTCAAAGGCCAAAGCTCTACCAACTGAGCTACTGCCGCCCGAATCAGGAAGGTGGTGTAATATATGAGGGTAAATATCCTCATAAAGTGCCTTCTTATGTTGCACTTTGTGTTGTTTTTCATTAATTATGTTAAATAGACATAATTGGATGGATGGAATATTCCATCCATCCATCCATCCATTTTCTTCCCCTTAATTCATTTCTAGGTCAGGGGGGGGGGGGCAGTCAGAGCAGGTGCCGAGTCCACATGAGCTGTGTTTATTAAAAAGACAACACTTTTTTTTTTGAAAAATGAACCGAAAAATGAACCGAAACGTGGCCTCTGAACCGAGGTACGAACCGAACCGTGATTTTTTCAAACCGTTGCACCCCTAGTTGTTATATCTCGACGACATTGTTGTGTACTCCTCCTCCGTCTCACAGCACCTGGAGCTGGTGCTGGGACGTCTTCAGCAAGAGGGTTTGAAGGCCAAGCTGGAGAAATGCTTCTTCTTCCAGCTCAAGGTGAAGTATTTGGGACATGTGATTTCCCAAGAGGGTGTCTCCACAGACCCTTCTAAGATTGAGGCGGTGCCTGGGTGGAAGCGCCCTCAACACGTCACTGAACTGCGTTCCTTTTTAGGTTTCGCCAGTTACTACCGGCGGTTTGTTGAGGGTTTTGCCCCACTGGCCGCCCCTCTTCATAAGTTGGTGGCTGCGGTTGCTGGGACAAAGCACAAGAGGGGCTCAGGGAAGCCTCTGGGTGAGGCTTGGACCTCTCAGTGTGAGGACAGCTTTGAAGCGTTAAAGGCCAAGCTTGTCGCCGCTCCCGTGCTCGCATATGCCGACTTCTCCAAGCCATTCATCCTGGAGACGGATGCGAGTTATAGCGGCCTTGGGGCAGTGCTGTCACAGGAGACTGAGGGTGGCGTCAGACCTGTTGCCTATGCAAGTCGGGGTCTTCGGCCCACTGAGCGCAATATGACAAATTACAGCTCCATGAAATTGGAGCTGCTCGCGCTCAAGTGGGCCATGACCGAGAAATTCCGGGAGTACTTGCTAGGGCATAGGTGTCTGGTGTTTACAGATAACAATCCGTTGAGCTACCTTCAGTCTGCCAAGCTCGGAGCCCTGGAGCATCGGTGGGCCGCCCAACTTACTGCATTTGATTTTGAAATAAAGTATAGATCTGGGCGCAGCAATGGTAATGCGGATGCCCTGTCCAGGCAGTACTTAACATCCTCCGAGCTGGCTGCTGGTGTACTGCCAGGCAGCTCTGTCCCGGTGGCCCTCCAACAAGAAGCAGGTCCACTGGTTGCAGGTCAGTCTCTAATCTGTGCCATCCCGGGGCGCTCCCTGCCCGAGATCCGCGCTTTACAGACGAACGACCCTTGCTTGAGGGAAGTCCTGGTCTTTTGGCAAAGACGGGCGCGGCCCTCTCCAATGGAACGCCGTGGCCTTTCCAAGCCAACCTTGACCCTCCTCCAGCAGTGGGATCGCTTTGTGGAGAGAGAAGGCGTGTTGTACCGTAGGCTTCTACGGCCTGACGGGGGAGAGGAAAGCCTCCAGCTACTCCTACCTGTCGCACTCAGGGAGCAGACCCTTGAGCAGCTCCATCAGGAACATGGCCACCAGGGCATTGAGAGGACCACTGAACTGGTGCGCCAGCGATGCTTTTGGCCCGGGATGTCTTCCGACATTAAGCAGTGGGTGCAGCTGTGTGAACGTTGCCAGGTCACTAAGGACGCTGCACCAGTGCCCCACAGTTTCATGGGTCATTTGCTCGCTTCTCGACCCAACGAGATCTTGGCTATCGATTTCATCCTGTTAGAGCCAACTCGTAATGGGCTGGAGAATGTTTTAGTCATGACTGACGTATTTACCAAATACACCATGGCTTTTCCCACTCGTGACCAACGGGCTCCCACTGTCGCCCGCGTTATCACCCAGGAGTGGTTCTACAGGTTCGGTGTTCCAAGCCGAATACATTCGGATCAGGGAAGATGTTTTGAGGGTGCCATCCTTCAGCAGCTTTGTCATCTGTATGGTGTAACCAAATCTCGAACCACCGCATACCACCCTGCCGGGAACGGTCAATGTGAGCGGTTCAACCGTACCCTACACAATCTTCTTAGGACCCTCCCACTTCCTCGTAAACATGACTGGGCTTCTTGCCTTCCCCAGGTGCTCTTTTCGTATAACACCTTTTCAGCTTCCGAACCTAGAAGCTCCATCGGACACTGGCCCGTTCGATGATCTGGCCATCGTTCCTTTGGAGAACGTATTGGTAGAGGACAGCCACCGAGACACAGAGAACGCCCCAGTACATGCTAGCCCGCCAGTCTTGCGTCGCACCACTCGTATGACTGCCGGGCAACACTCTAATGTCCACCATCTTCCCCGCCCCCTTGATGGGTCTTCTTCTGGGTCTGCGTAGGTCCATTCTACTGTATTATGTCGTCGGGACGCCAACAAAGAAAGGGGGGGTAGAATGTGGCAGGTTGGTGTAGGCTGCCTTTTAAGATGGATTGTGGGTGGCACCGACGTAGCGTTGAAAGCCGGTTACGCGCACGGCGCACGCTCATACACACACCAGCTTGAGTGGGCTTTGTGGTGGCGGCGTGCTGTGGTCTCCCGCAACACCTGGTTCGGGCCTTAACTTTCCGAGCCCTGCGCTTCCACGCATTATCATCCAGGTTAGTTTTAACAAGCCTCTTCTGGTGCACGCTGTGTGCCAGCCTTTCTTAATGTTGGTTGTCTTAGGTCCAGGACTACGGTCTGGCCTGGCTCGCGTGGTCTTCCTCCTTCTCCTTGGGAGTGCGTGCGTGGTGCACGCGTCGCGTGCTCCAGGCCCTTCTCTGGGTAAGTGCGTCCATTGTCTCGCTGAATTTTGGGCTTGGCCCGGGCTGACATCAAATTTTCCTTTAGGTCTGGGGCTGTTGTGGGACTTTGCCGTGATCCCCCCGCGTCTCTCCCCCTCCTCCTGCTGCCTGCGGGTGCGCGCACTGTCACCGGCAGGTAAGAGGTCCAAAGCTTTACCACTGCAGGGCTAATCCTTAGTTGGTAGTTTACGCTCGTGTTTTTCTTTCTAGGCACGAGGCGCACAGCGTGCGTGGCCCACGTTGGAGCCGCCACCTCCTGTTAAAGGAGGCCGTTGTTTTGTCCCTCTGTGTTGTCCACATTCTCTCGTGCGTAAAAGAAGCGCTCCAGTCCCATTCCGCACCCCTGGGCTGCTTCAGCGCGTGCTTAGTGCGTGCATAGGTGGGGGTGGACTCGCACCGAACAATTTAACATTGTTTTTTTGTAGGCAAGGACTACAAGGAATCAGGGTAGTTTGTCCGCATGTCTGCTCCTGCATGCTTGTTTGTTTTTGTCGCTTGCAGGTTATTTTCCTTTGCCTGTTTTCTGTGTGTATTTACCTTATTGTGCATGATTTGCTGTGTCTTATTTTATTTTTGCTTCTGTTGTGATGTTTGCCTATTTTCACAAGCTATTTGATTTATGTTTATTTAAAGGTGCTGTCCCCCACTACTCAAGTAGCACTGTGTACATTGTTTATTGTTAAAGGTGTACTGTATGACGCTTGTTTACCATTTTAAAATAATATTAGGCCTATTTCAACTTCTGTATTTATTAAATAAAACTCATCTTTGTAATAAAAATTAACCTCCTTTATTGTCCTAACCTAGTGCGGCCTTCTGAAAGCAAAAAGATTAAACCAAAACCGTCAGGTCCCAGGGCCATTACCCTGGGTGGCGTTGCTAAATTTTCATTGTTCTACCACGGCTCCCGCCACAAAAGACACGCTGCAAACCTGCATATTGGAGAAGATCTGTACACAAGAAGCCGCTAGCATAGCTCTGCTAGCATCAGAGCCGGCCGGCTACTTCCGGTACTTCCGGCTCGCGTCAGGACGTTCTGGTGTGAAGTCCTCTGCGTCTGAAAACTAGAGAATGTGCGTCTGGTGAGCGGGGCTTCCACGTTTCAGCGTTTGCGGTCTGAAAGCACCATAAGAGCCCTCATCCTTCTCTCCAGCACAGCTCCCACAGAGTCCACACTTCTCTCCATCACAGACACATTTCCTGATCAGTCTGTCGATCAGGAAATGACAGGCTGATCATTTCCTGATCTAAATGATCAGCTCTGATCACTGTCTCTCGAGGTCAGACTGCCGCCACAACATGCAACTCCAAAGAACACGACACTAGCTACCACAGACTGGTAAAAAATGTGCAACATCTGACTGTTCACATCAAAGGACATTAATCCTGTAAAATGTCAAAGTTGGTACCTGCACCTCAGCTTTGTTCAGTATTAGATCTGAAAAAAGTGATTACAAAAACTGAATGACTCACGCAGGGGCTGGAATCAAGACAATGCTTAATCTCCCACTCTTTGATTTTGTTGGTATTCTTTCAATAAATCCAAACAGGAGGCAAACGGCTCTGATTAGGACCTGGACTATATCTGTCATACAGTTGCTCCTGGTGTATTTAAGGACAGCCTGGATTTTGGATTAACAATGAACTTGATACCAACCAGGGCGAGGTCAGAGAGCACCAGATGAGTTTGAATCTAAAATTGTATCGGCTTCAACAATACAAGAATGACTGGGGAATTGCAAGTACTATTAAAGGTGATGGTGTATGCAGCTGCAGCTGTTCATGACTTCTGTAAAAGTATTCTCTTCACTTAGTTCATTTTGTGGTCGTACTAGTTGTGGAAATCAAGTACGCATGTCAAAGCCTAAATATTGATATTCAACTTTTCCAGGGCCCAGAAATAGTTTTTTTTTAAAGATATAAATCATAGATGAATATTAAAACCATGATGTATGAACCTTGCATACAACTTTTTTACAGTTAAAGAAGACATACGTAAGTGACACATGTTGATAGCTGTCGTTTTGTAAATTCAATTCTCAATTATCAATTATCCACTATTTTAAGCCTCAATTATATTAATCGTGACACAGGTGATTTTTGCTGAGCAGAAATGGAATTACTGAGAAATCGGAATGATTATGAAATACTATTTATGCTCTAGAATTACTCACATGTTCAATCAATCAATCAATCAATCTTTTTATTTCGAACTTTGTTGTCAATCCAAATGCCATGTCATTTCATAATGCATAAAAAAATAAACTTTGTACACTCTGTACTTCTATTCTCATTCGAAAAAACAAGGAAAAGAAAAAACAATAATAAATACAAAATATGAGAAGCAATACAAAATTGCAAAAAACAAAACTAATACAAGATACAAAAAAAAAAAAAAAATGACAACAAGAAAGTTCGAAAGGGAGTGGGAAGAAGTAAATACTTTTTAAATCCCACCCCCAGTGCATAAATGTTTGGTGGTTGCTTATGTTGTTTGTGTAGTAGCGTAACCTTTATTATATACATCAATAATTCTAATAACTCATGCATAGCTTTTAATTCAATAACTTATACTCTGTTCATGTACAGACTCAAGATTGTGTTTTGCAGATTTTGACACTTAATAAAATACAAATACTACATGATTTAGTAAAGAATCAACATACACTGCAACCCTTAGCTCCATAATACTGTTATTGTGAGTAAATGATGTATGATGGTGTTGCTACTATATGACTATAGTAAGGATTTTCACTGTGTACTGTACTGTTGTAAAAGTTTTTCTTTATATTTGACTTTAAAATGGTATATGGTGGGACATTGTTTTAACTTCCAATCCAATTTATTCCACAGTCGCACACCGCACACTGAGACACACATGTTCTCAAAGCTAAAAGCCAAAGCTAAGGACTTACTTACAAATTAAAGATGTATTTGAAACTGAGTTGTATGTAAAGGCAAACCTGACAAGGAACCAAAGATCTTTGATGGCTCAGCTGCGAACTGGCATCCTTCCCCTGGCCATAGAAACTGGCAGGTTCACTCAAACTCCTGAAGAGGACAGACTCTGTAGAAGACTGTGTGAGTTAGGAGAGATTGAAAGTGAAACTCATTTTGTGTTATATTGTCCACAGTACGATGATCTTAGAAATGTATTGTTTGGTGAATAGGTGAAATTGGTCCTAGCCGAATACCAATATCAATGCTGTAATTAATATAAGGCTGGGCAAGGCAAGTTTATTTGTATAGCACAGTTCATACACACGTGGTTGACAAAACAAAATAGAAACGATCACACAAGGTATTCAAATCATAAATGCACCATGAATATTCACAGTACATAAACAAGCACTAAAGTTAAAGTCCCTCATTTGTATGCACAGCTAGACAGAACTTATCAGAGAAGAGGCCTGTCTCACATTTTCAGGAAGACTGTTCCAGATTTACTGTAAGCTGCATATATCTGAAATGCTGCCTCCCCATGTTTAGTCCTGACTCGGCACCAGTCCCTGTGCTCCTCAGCGTCCGAGTTGGTTCATATGGCACTAACATGTCTCGGATGTACTTTGGTGCGAGGCCATGGAGAGACTCAGTGCGGAGACCTGAGAACTGGACTAAAATATACCACGAATATAATCATATCCACATACGTTACACAATCATTGCAGTTTGTTACCAGTGTGACGGGCTCCCACACAGCCCTGATAATGATGTGCGAGGGGAGAAGACTTTTCAAAATGCCGTCTTTATTTAGACTTCACAGCAGTTGGAGATCAGCCTGAGATGCCGACCTTTACCAGCACAGTGAATATCAACATCCCCTTGTCATCGAAAAAGACAAGATTACAGACTGATGGAATATCCAATCAAACGCTTGCATTTAGATAAAGCAGCAGAGCAAGCATTCTGACAGCGGCTGTGGGCTCGCCTCTTCACAGATCAGACTGATTACTTGGTTTAGCTGGCAGTTCGTCTCCACGGTGATGGTTTAAGTGTCCTGTTGAGGATAATACAAGATGATAGCAGGTTGTGTATGTTCATGCTGCAGAGAAATTGGATAGTTTATATTCAAAAATAGATGAGTGGCATTAGAAACATATAGGAATAGATTACAATTTGATCTTTACATTACTCTAAGATTCTGCTTAACTTTTATCGCTGCACCTGCACCCCCCCTGTTCTGTGTCTGTGTGGTTTGGAAACATCACAGATAAAGAAAAGAGAGCTTTAAACAAGGTGATCCGCTCTGCAAAGAGGACCGTGGGCTGTGAGCTTCCTGTTCTGGAGGTTCTTTATAAATCCAGACTTTTAAACAAAGCTCTTAGGATTGTCAATGACTCTTCTGGCCACCCTGGGAAAGCCATGTTCCAGCTTCTTCCTTCTGGCAGAAGATATCGCTCTCTGAGATGCAGGACATCTCGTTACGTGTGAACAGAGCACTTTAATGATTTGCACTTGTTTTGAAACTGTTTTAGTCGATCGATTTCACAGTGACACTTGTTTACTGTTTTATTGTTTTATTTCTGTCTTTTAATGTTGTTGTATGTCTGTATTTGTCTGACCGACACACACACACATACAGACATTCAAACACAGACACACGCACACACAAACAAACGCACACAGACAGACACCCGGACGCAAACACACACACACACACACAGACATTCACACACAGACATTCACAGGCAGACAGACAGACCGATACACACACACACACAGACAGATAGACAGACACACACAGACCGACACACACACACACACACACACACACAGACATTCACACACAAACAAACACAGATAGACAAACAGAGACAGACAGACAGACAGACAGACAGATACACATACACACACACACACACACACACACACCCACACACACACACACACACACACACGCACACACACAGACAGACCCAATGTAGTGTCCTTGGGCATGACGTCTCACACACCAGCAGAGCCATTAGAGGTCAAACAATGTCTGCAAAGCTTTTACACAATTACAACTGGCACTGAGGCGGCGAGGCT